TTCCTCCATCAACTGGAACACATCGAAGCTGATTCCACTGAAGTTATAGCCTTGCAAAGTTTTCTGCACTTCATGAAAATGTCTTCTCCAGTTGTTGTTCCGTGCATGCTGCAAACGGATGCCAACTTTTCTGTGATCTGAAAGTCCAAATTAACACCACGAATGAACACGAGAAGTTGTGACGTACTCGAGAGATCAGTAGACTCATCCAACACCAGAAAATACCACAAGAAGTTCCTAGCTTTCTCGCGTATCTGTAATACCATGTTCTCTCCAAGTTCTTCTGTTCTCCGCACAACTGAACTTGCTGAAAGGCTGATACTTCCAAACAAATCGGCTTTCTCAGGACACAAGTCATTTGCTGCTTCCATCATACACTCTTTGATGAAGTTGCCGTAAGTAAACGGTTTTCCTCGATCTGCCATCTTATGCACTATTTTGTAACTTGTATGAGTGACAGATTCATTTTCAGCAAACATTCTCGAGAAGAGATTCCTTTGAGATTCCAAAGTACGTTTCATGAACTCAGATTTCTCAGAATGAACTTTCCAGAAAACTTCGAATATGTTGACAGATATTTGTTTCATAATGATGCCGAAGATTGTATTCTTTCAAAATGGCAACACTTTCATTGCATATCATGCAATAGCTTTCTGGTTGTTTGTTTCCACAAAGAAGTACTTTTCTCCCCATTCTTCATTGAAAAGGCGACACTCGGCATCTACTTTTCTTTTCTTAGTAGCCATAACGATGGGTGAATAAAACAGGATTTGAAAATGAAAAACAATTGTTTATTTACACATTGAATAGTCTACCAAAAAAGTTTTAGAAAAATAATTTTTCAAAATTTTTTTGACATGTATATAAACATGACAAACTAAATGTAAATAGTTCATGACATTAAATTACATTATTATATAATTGGTATAAAAGTTTTTTCCGATAAGTTATTTGATTAAGCAATTTTTATAATTTGCTAATGTATTTAAAATAAATATCAAAGTTTGAAAATATTAGATGCTTACCTCTTGTGAGCTCTTTCAACACTCTAATATGCAAAATATATGACATAATTCACTGAAGTCAGTCCCTTTTATATACGGTACTCTTCAAACCTGTTTAAACACGGAAATGCAAGTTAAAACACAATCGCTGCAGCAGGCTCGTAATTGCTTTTCTTGGAAACTTTATTGCAGGTACTTAAACAAAAACACTCTGATATCCAAAGTCGCAAAAAGTCGCTTGTTCAGGTTTAATCCGTGTATTGAACCAGTGTTCCAGATTTAAATATAAATATATGAACACACATATGTACAACACACAAATATACGTAGAAGCACACACAATACATGCACACGTCTTCTCTATCACAAAGCTGTGTAACCACGCGCACACTCGTCACACTACTTGTATCAACTGCCTGTAAACATTGTATCGTCTTGCAACAATGCGCGCAGAGGCGACTGCAGGAATGAACTCTCATTGTAGGTACTTACACAAAAAGCGCTCTGATATCCAAAGTTGCAAAAAGTCACCGAATTTTTATTTGACTGAATTTCCTAAAACTTGTATTACTGCCAGATGCAAAAATCACATTGGACAAATTTGGACATTTTTACTTACACTTATTTTAATTTTTTCTACCTA